AACCTGTTAGTAAGATATAGTGTTATGTGACCATTGTATATTTGTGTATATATGTTTATCAATATCAATTTCTTGAGATCTTGTATATATTAATAAATTTGTATATAGTTAAGATATAAAGTGTCCTGGCTTGGTTTTCTACAGGGGAAGAAGGGAAGATGTGTACAGCCAGTAGTTTTCCCCCCACCGCATACCTGCCCTGCTAACATTTCTCTTCAGTTGGAGAAGGGAGTACACAGCCAGATACACCAGGGTTACAGCTGTATGGTGCATAGGCTGTGAAGACAGCTCACTGTGCATGTGCTGTGCCACACAACTGAAGAAGTTGGGGCCACAACTCTTCGCTGTGATCCTGGCGGCCAGTGAGCTCTCCTGAACTCAACAACATGTCAGCATAGCTCCTGCTGGCAGCTCCGCATGTGCTGTAATCTCTATGAGCTCTCTCACTGGCTGGCTGGGATAGGGGTATGGCCAGAGCCTCTACCTGCCTACAGCTCTGGAGCTGTTTGATTCACTACCCACCCTCCTGAATTCATCAGCAGGGGGAGAGAGGGAATGAGCAGTGGAGCTAAGTGCGTGCAGGGGCTCTGGATAGACCCTGCAGACTCTGTTGACTGGCAGTGAGTTCTCAGGGCTCAGAGCACATGCAGAGATCCCTACCCTGGGGGTCTTCAACAGGAGGCTAGATAATCACCTTGCCGGGGTTGTTTGACCCCAGCATTCTTTCCTGCCCGTGGCAGGGGGTCAGACTTGATGATCTGCTCAGGTCCCTCCCGACCCTACCAACCATGAAACTATAACTATGTTGGTGAGCTCTGAGAGCTCACTGCACATGCTGTGAACAACCAAAGTGGGTGCAACTGTGCCGCCATATTCCCTCTGTTCCTGGGCTTATCTAAAGCCTGCAGTTCAAAGTTAAGATAGCATAAGCATTTTTTCCCCTAATGCAAGGACTTGGCTGTGCTAATAAAAGCCACGGTGTAGATATCAGCAAGAAATGTAGCCAGCAGAACAGCCTCCATTTGAAATACTAGATTAAGATGATCTTGTCAAAAGATCCCTCTTGACAAGCTATATCTACTCAGAGTGGGGTGGGGTTGCAGCTATACTGGCAATGCCTTTCGGGGTAGACAAGGCCTATGCAATGACAGCTTCTATGGCCCATCTCCTGGGCTTCGGTAGGGTTGTGCGCTAGAGTCCTGTGAAGGCACTCCTACTCCCAGTCATGTCTCAGACACCTCTGCACACGGCACCTGGACCAGTGATTTCTGGAAAACAACTGTTGGTGACTTCATAGTTCCTCTGCTAGCACTACTGATTGACTAATGATCTTACTCAGCCTGGATTCCTTGCAAGTGTTAGCTACAGAGGGAAACAGTGAAGTGCCTTAATTTATGAGAGTATTAATAAAACATGCATCTTTTCCTGTAAGAAAATCTTCAAGGCAACCCTGTGAGCTTCTGAGCTGGTCTAACACTAGCCAGAGTTACCACAGACAGTCCATATTCAGTAGACCTACTGTATTTCCTTAAATCCAGTCAGGTAATCATATCTTCATAACTGCAACAAGTGGCAAAATTACCACAATGCAACCACGTGGAATTCAATATGATTAACGCCTAACAAAAGTCTTATTTTTCACTTAAAAAACCTTGTGGGCAAATGCAGACATTTACTTCTAAAATCACCTAATATAGCTATAGAACAATGCACACTGTAACTAAGTCTTGATATAATTT